TCTCCCCGTTTTGCGTGTCCTCCCCAGAGGGCCATGATGCAGCAGCTACGGACTTTTGCTGAGAGGAGGTGGATTATATGCCAAGTGTATGCAACATAGACACCACGGCGGATGCCCTCCACCTCCATTTTCCCTCCTTTGGGGGGGGGTCACCTATGTTAATTACCGCTCTAGTGCAACTAGGAGAAATTTCTGAAAAACATACTTACACATGCACACACACACACACACACTGCACATGAATAGTTGACACAACAGACCTGGTGAGTAAGCATGTGTCACTGAAGGAGTGTGTATGAGAGCGAGAAAATAATAGTTTGAAAGACAGGGGAAATGGAGAGAGTGAGGAAATGTCATGGAGAAGGATACCAGGCGTACAGAGACGAGGGGAGAGAGAAGGCTGAGCTTAGATTTCAGATGAGAAATGACTAAAGCATGCAGAAAATTTGAGTCTCAAAACATTGTTCGCTTTACTAAATATTTGAGTTTGACTCTCCAACACATCAATCTACAAATATGGAAATTTCATATGGTCCACACTGGAGGTAAGGTCAACTGGCCATACCCCCAGTATGGCTGAGAGCAGCTGGATGAAAATATGAGTAAAATCTTAATAATATGTGAGTGATAAGAATATCTGCTTTTCCTTCACCTCAACAAAAAATGAACTGCAGAGATCTCAGTAGCCTGCATTTTCAATGTGGACTGCAACCATTAGTTCACCAGGGAGTGAATGCAAGCTACCTAGGTAAGCAGTATGTGTGGTTTTAGCTCTAGCTTATGCTGAAAGATTAGCAAGGTGCAACGCATTTAAATATGCTGCTGTTTTGGCAGCACTGTCAGCCTGATTTAGAGAAATCTGATGTAAAGTTTGGAGAGGTGTAGTAAACATTCAGTCTGTTTTAGGTGATCTATGCATGCTCTCTGTTCATGTTATTATTTTTTGTGTTCTTTACCTTTGCTTACTTTGTTGCCCTAAGCAGAAAGAAGAGAAGATAAAGAAACCATCCATCCCCTCTTTCTCCGTCTCCCTTCAGCCCATGCTGCCTTCTGTCTGTCTGTCTGTCTGTCTGTCTGCCTGTCGTCTGCCAGCCACAGGGTCTATTTATGGAAAGCAATGTCAATCACACAACACCATCAGATAGCTTTCTCCCTGCCCTGCTCACTGCTCATACATCATTAACATTCTGCACGACCCTAGCACATACTCTCACAAGCACACGGGCTGCATGGCACACCACAAGCTGCCAATCAGCCAGTACAAGACAGCACAGGCAAATGGCTATAGAGCTCCACACTATAGCCTATGCACTATAGTACATGCACATCAGGCATACTAAATATCCAACATGAGCAAACAATTACTTTCATTGTCAATTTTTTTAATGAAAACAGCAACTAAATGTCCATGGGAGTTTCTCAGAGATTAAGCGATTTGACTGACTATTACATTTTTAATTCATTAGCCAATAGCAGTGGTTATCCTTCAAGAAATAGTTTTGGACATTCAGGAGATATACTTATACTTGTTCTTGCTGCAAGTTAGATGAGAAGATTAATACCACTGCCATCTCTGTATGGTAAAAATGAAGCTACAGTCAACTGCAGGTCAGCACAGCTGAATATAAAAATATGCAAAAAGCACCACAGGGTGTTTTTCCAGTTGTGGTTTGTACTGAGTAAACACATTACTGTGAATATACCATACTAATTAGAGAACTTCAGAGGTGCTGATCGGTGTGTTTTTTGTTACATTTGGATAAAGCCAGGCTCACTGTTACCCTATTTTCAGACTTTGTGTTAGGCTAAGCTAACTGGTTAATGGCAGTAGCCTCACATTTACCATACGGATGTGAGACTGGCATCAATCCTCTCATTTAAAGGGACAGTCTCAATCAAAAGACCTTCTGCCTGTCCTGTCCATTAAAAAAGCTTTCTTGCTTTATTTTCACCCAAATGTAACTGCTCCTTGAGCTAGGACTGCTAACGGTACGACGAGTGACTTCCAATTGCAGCTACATTCGTACTAAACATCTGTATAAAGAATGTGTAGTTGTTGTCACACTGTGTTGAATTTTGGGTAAATGTGCCATTTTGGAAGATCACGTTCATTAGCAATCCTAGATATATACACTACATGCATCTATAAGTTAATAAAAATAAAAAAAAACGATACAATACAGCTATGTACACTACCAGTCAAAAGTTTGGAAACACTTTCCCATTCAGTTCAATGGGAAAGTGTGTCCACACTTTTGACTGGTAGTGTACAATAGTGGATGCTTCAACTATGTCCAAGTGTCCACTATAGTGTTCAGTTTGAGCACAGACAGGACAGAAATTGATTCACCTGGGGTGTCTGTGTTACCTGCTGCTAGTTAGCATTAGCCCCCAAACCGAGACCTGATTGTAACTGAGATCAGGGTGCAGAGTCGTATTTTCAGTTTGTCGCTCTCCTAGACATAGGATCTCTAGGTTATCTACAGTCGGCTAAGGTTATCCACAGTCAGTAAAGTGAGATCTAAACCATTTAAGCAACTTTTTAGCCAAACAAAACAAGAATGTATGCAGATAAATATAGCGCCTATCAAATAAGACTTGTGCACGTGTGTTTACAAACAAGGGAGAAAAGAAAAGCATGATGGAAACAGAGTGTGTGTGTATGACCTCGTCAGCCTCAGAGGCAGCCTTCAGAGAACACTTAGTGAAGCAACACCGGAGAAAACTGTCTCCTCTCCTCAGCTTTAAAAACCAATGCTAATGCAACATTTTGTATCTGTGCAAATACAATGTATATGAAAAACTCTTCAGTGCATCAACAGCAGAGGACCAGGAGCTAACAACCCAATCATGGACATATGGGATATAGCCAGAGAGACAGAGAAGGGAACATCTGGACAGGGATTAGGACAGCTAAAGGGGCAAAAAAAAGGAGAAGGAGACAGAAGGATAGACTTAGTGATGTATATAGGAGGGGCGGAGGGTTGTCAGGGGTGTGTGATGGGTGAAGGTGGGGGTAGGTGAAGGATTAAGTGAGCAAGAAAGTTTTTGTCTTACTTGAAAGAAGCCTGGGGGCATGGGTCCTCCTGGCATGCCATCATTGGGAGGCATGTTGCCCATCACTGGACTGGGGGCAGCAGCCGCACTCTGAAGGAAACACCACAAGTATATTTTCAGTGGCAGAGCAGCACACTGATGCATGACAAGACAGCAATTAGAAAGGTGTTAAAATAATCCTGTGTTTACTGAAAATAACTGACAGAGACACGATGGTCAGAAAATATGTTGCCACAAAACTTTCAAATTTGACTACACTCTCTGCATCTCAGGACACAAGGACAGCAGTTACCAGTAACTGATGAACACATGATTATTTGGTCAGACAGAGAAAATATCTGATGAAGGACACAAAACCATCTGGTCAAAATGCTGATTTGGAAGGAACATTAAGGATTCTGCTTCCAGGGAATTAGTTTGTATGATGCACTGTCTGCCTGCGACAGCAACATCGATCGTTTCTTGTCAGAACTAGATGAACTTGAAAATGTGGCAAGAAGCTGTTGATTTCAGGATTATGAGCAAAAAGAGTTATATAGTTAGTTTTATTTTATTTCTGTCATACCAGACATCTGACCCACCCCACATAGGATTACAAGACACCAATATTTTTTACAAAAGGTACATCGTCCGGTAATACTGTATATGCAGCACAAGAAAGACAAGAAAGAAAAGAAGAGAATGCCTTCAACACTCTGTGTGCCAATTGTCTATAAATCATCTTGACAGAGTTTTTTGCTCTTCCCCCATTCTTTTTCTAGGTAGCTAGCAAATTTAAATGTTTCATGTGTGAGCGACCCACTCAATCGCTTTGCACATCCATATTTATAGAATCAATGTTTTTATTGTACTAAACAAGGTACCTTACAGTGTCCAATAAAAAGGACAACAGAAAAGAAAATGAGACTTATTTTCTGTACATTTTCCAAAATACCAAATACAAATATGCAAATGTACAGCTCTTATAGCTTCCTATAAAGAATGTGAAGGTATGTCACGCTGTGTTGAATGCTGGGACAGGGGCTCCATTTTTGGAGGCACAAACTGTATTTATTGTACCTGTATACAGTCTTGTTTTATTTAGCTAAAAGTTGCTTAAATTGTTCAGATCTCACTTTACTGACTGTGATAATCCAGAATGAATAACCCTAGCTGACTACAGCTAACTCATAGTGGACCTAGAGATCCTGTCGATGGGAGCGACAAACTGAAAAATGACTCTGCACCATGAGCTGAGCTCTTGCCTCAGGAGCTAACGCTAGACTGCATATTTTCACAAACCCTGATTGGTTCTAAATATCAAAATATAACTTATTGCGACTGCTCTTAATTAAAAGAATTATATTTCCATATAGGGCTGGAAATCAAATCAACACAAGTCCTTGAGTTTTAGTACCAACGCCAAAACAATACTGTATATTATTCTGGTGAACATATCTATGTTTTTAACAAAACACTTTCCATTTGAAACCCCCCCCCCCCCATTTTTTTTTACTTTGGATCAGTAAATTACTGTAAATATTACAAAATGAATTGAATTATACAAGAATAAGACTTTTCACCACTTTTTATACTCAGTGCTACAACACCAGTTTCATTGGCTAAAAGCACTGAAATTCATTATTGAGCTCATCATTGTTGGATTTAGTTAAATACCAAGCAGTGTTCCAAGCACTTAAAGTACTTAAAGCACTTCATATTAATGCGTAACATAAAAAATATTAATCAATATTAGGATTTTGGATTTATACAATATCCTTTTTTGCATGCAACCCCTGTGTGAATATGGCCTCCAGACTATATTTCTGGTAGTATTTCCTTCATTTCTGCTCTCAGTTATAATGATTTTCAACACTGGGGAGAGGACAGATGTGACACTTGCTGCTCTGGTTTTCTTCTGAGGCAGTGAGGCTGACAGTCAGCGTTTGGTCGTGACTGCTTCATCAGAGCTCGACATTCACACATGGCCACATAGATGGGAGAAGGAAACGAAAAAGCTGCAATGAGGACAAATTTTAAGGCAGACTGTGGAGCATGCTAAATGATGTTGCCAGCACAGGGGTGGAGGGATTACACAGATACAGACAGCCTTCTTCTGTACTGACACAATTTCCTCAGAGAAAAAAACAACAGTATTGGTTTTATGTTCAAACACTTTGCGCAACCTACTGTATCTTCATTTTTTCCTCACAAGTGGCCTTTAAAAAAAATTTTGAGTTTGACACCACAGACAGCGGTTTGCATCCCATCTCTTACACCAGTCAACAGTGGCTTCTTTTAGCCATGATCACAGCCTTTTCATCACCTTATCCAAGTAGTTTAGTTGCTTAAATGTACAGTAACCAAACCATGGAAGTGACAGATCAAAAAATGCTCAAATGAATCATTACGTTCATTATGTAAGTGTTAATATCCCTTTTTTAAAATAAAATCTATTCTCTACTGAACGATCATAGACTCATACACACAGACACACACTGCTCTCCTCCTGCCCCTCCCCCACTGTAACTAGAGCTTCACTCACTTCCAGAGCAAATTATCCCTCCATCCCTGAGCTGACCCGCATGGCCCAGACACTAACAGGCCCCAGGGCCACCAGGCAGGATGCACACACCGCTGGAAAGAGGGTGTGAATCCATGGGACTCTGAACAAAACATAGGACTCACAGGGAGTGTGGACATGAACGTCCACAGAAGTCAGACGCAAGCAGAACGTGAAGAGGTGCAAGGAGACAGAGAGAAATGTAGAGATTTTAATAGAGAGATGGAGAAAGAGAGAGACCTCAAAGGGTGATGAGAGGTCAGACAGTGAAGAACAGTCCACTCTCTGTGTGCGAATAAATTGCTCTTTTCAGTAGCAGCAGTGTATTAGTGTTCTCTATTGGGTCTACTGGGGTCATCCACATTTTGGGTCAAGTCTAATTATCCCCAGGTCTGTTTGGATGGGGTTAGTCTGACTGCGCTTGTATCCTTTAGTCTTTATGTTTATTTTATTTTACTTTTTCAACAATTATTTAGCTATGTCCAGGTTGGTTTTTATACCAGAAAATTATAGTAAACTGAGTGCAATTTGTTTGACAGATGGAGCAACTTTGCATGACCTCCAGTAAAAAAAACAGTGGGATCTAGGAAGCTTCTGGCCTCAACTGTACCTTATAAAGTATATACTGTTTTTGTGAACTGTTATTGAACAATGGGCAATGAAAACAATAGGCTAAATGCTTTACACACATGCATGCATACAAATGCTAATATACACGCACAGTTAACGAGCTGTGGTGTATCGGAGAGCATTAAGTACTCAGCAGAGAGAAAGAGAAAAGGAGGATGGAAATGAAAATGACAAAAGGAAGAGAGGAGAGCAGAGATGGCTGGATGAACAGCAGGGCATCTCAGAGAGAGGAGGAAGAATGAATGGAAGCGATGCTGACATGTGAGTATGTGTGGTGGGAGCATGTGTGTGTGGCTGCCTGCCTCAGCCGGCCAACGAAGCTCCACAGTACTCAGGTGAAGCAGCAGCAAAAGGCCCCTTCTCCTAGTTGCCATGACAACTCCGACCTCAGCTCCTGCTCTCCAGTGCCCATTAAAACCCTCAGGCCGTCAATCATCAGCATGGCCAGGGAGCAGAGCGAGAGAGGGACAGAGAGAGAAAAGAAAAAATGAGGAAAGAAAGGGAGAGAAGATGAGGAAAAAAAAACAGTGATGGAGTTTAAAGCAGCCTGTGGCTTTTGATAGCTGCCCTGTTTACCACTGTCTTCTTCTTTTTCTCTCCACGCTCCCTGATTCACAATACCTGCACAGTATTGGCTCCTCGCACTCACTGTCTCACCACGTCCATGAAAAAAGAAACAAATAAATAAATAAAAACACCCACCACTACATTTCATAAAATTAGCTTCATCCATTTCAAACCCTTTTTTAACAAGCTCTCCCCATCTGGCATCTAGCTTTAACTAATGATTCTGCTTGTTTGCAATATAACATCTTAATTCTTCATCCTTCCATACATCCAGCTCCACATTGGGAAATAAAACATTTCCAAAAGTCTGCTGCTTACAAATCACAGACCAAGGTGCAATGTGTTTGAGGGAATAGTTAGATATTTTGGGAGATCTGCATATTGGCTTTCTTGCCAAGAGTTAGATGAAAAGACTGATGCCACTCCATGTCTTTACAGTAATACTAAGCTGCAATCAGAGGACAGTTATCTTAGTGTAGCATAAAGACTGAAAACCGGGGGGGCTGTGTCCAGAGGTAACAAAACTTCTCTATACCAGCACAGTACAAAACTCTGTGCAGCTTGTCATTTGTGCATCTTAATTAGGGGACTTTAGAGGTGCTGGAAGGCAGAGTTTGGCCAAATGGTTCTCCACTTCCAGTTTTCATCCTAAACTATGCCAGCTGCTGACGTAGATCCTCTCATTTTACTTGGCAAGAATGCAAACAACCGTATTTCCCAAAATGACAAACTATTCCTTTAAAGACTGGGTCACGCATAAAATAATAAAAGTCTCTAGTGTGACTAACATAACATCTTTTATGTATAAAGAGCCGAAGTGAAACAGAACATCCAGGTTGCGTTCCAGAAGAAAGAAAACCCCATTCAAAATCCCAGTGAGATTTCTAATCTGGCTAATAACTAAAAACCCAGCCAGAGGCTAAATGGATGTGATGTCATAACTCCAGATCTCTATAGTGGTTTATATACTCCAAAAGTATTTATCCAAAACAGGGGGTGGGGGTGTGTTCTGGGCCATTGTATATAAACAACAACCATGTGTATGGTTATGCTGAAAACCAATTAAAGTGGAACAGAAATAAATTTGCTTAATCCTGTAACTGATAAAGAATCATTCATTCATTTTCTACCGCTTAGTCCCTGAACGGGGTCACAAGGGGGGGGGAGCCAATTCCAGCCGGCAATCTGGCGAAGGCGGGGTACACCCTGGACAGGTCGCCAATCCATCGCAGGGCTAACACATAGACAAACAACCACACACACACACTCCTATGGGCAATTTAGAGACACCAATCAACCTAAGCTGCATGTCTTTGGACTGTGGGAGGAAGACGGAGTACCCGGAGAGAAC